TCGCAGAGAATGTCAGCGCCCGAGGAGATGCGAATCTTCACTGCGGGCGCAGGGTCGTGAGGGCCACGCAAGATGTATACCGATCCTCCGAGGCCTGAGCTGCCCACTTCAAGTCCGCGAGGATTCAAGGCAGCCGCGAGCTTTGCTCGCGCACGCCCGAGAGAAAGAAACATTTGACGTGCATTCATATCCAAGTCTCGGCGCAAACGCAACGCGAGGGAGGAATTGGGGTGGAGTGGATCTGGGGTCGACCAACTGCCGCCGACCTTCGAGAAGTTATATAAAAAAGAGCTCGCAGCATTCGCATTCTCGAACAAGAAAGTAACCTTTTTTCCGAAAGATCGAAGGCACGCACAACTATACTGGTCTGGGCTTGCAGAGGTGCAAAAGGCTTCCTTGCAGCGGACCCCAATCGCTTCGAGATCGGCAAGGAGAAGAGGGCGAGGAAAGCCTAACAAAATCAACTTGCATGCATCATGCTGCTTCCCCTCCTGCGAACTGGCATCCGCTGCAGACCGACGGCGGCGGTCCTGTGGCGGCGAAGGCGAAGTAGGCAAGCGAGGCGTAGGAGTCGAAGCGAGACCACAGATGAGAGTGTCGGCGGCCTTCTGAGCCTCCTTGAGCTCATTCAACTGCTGGGCGATGTCGTCACAACGAGAAGCCAACGCGATGTCGGTTGCAGTGTCCATACTGTCGCCGTTCCGTACAATGAACTCTGAACGCATGGCATCGATCTTGGCATCCTGTGCTTTGAAGGCCTCTGACATGTCGTGCTCGATCTGCTGGTGGCGCTGGTAGATGCTGTTGCCCATGGGCGCAATCTGATCAGAAAGTTCGTTACACCGAGCAAAAGAGCCAGCAACTGATGTTTTGAGGTCGGCCACGTCCGCATTGTTCTGCATCATCATTTGGCTGAGAGAGGTAATGTTGCCTGCGATCGTCTCAAGCTTACCCATCACATCCTGGGAGCGGCCTGCCCCATCACGACGAGTATCTGGTGTCCTGCTGGCACTGCGGCGTGCAGAAGACGGGCTGCGGGAGTCACTTCGCGAAACGGTTCCTCTCCTATCAGTCCGACGCTTGCCCCCCATCGCGGCGGTCTGAGAAAAGAGGAGTCGAAGCAAAGTACCTTATCGGGATGGCTCCAGCAGGAGCTCACTAAAAGCGCGGGAATGGAAGCGAGTCCTGCTCGGGCAAGCACCTGTGGACCCGCGGTCGCGCGGCCGCCCGCCACCTCGAGACGGGGGGATTCCCGATATTGCCACTTGAACCAACATGGCTACGGAGGATCCGGTGCCCTGGCTGACCCCCGTTTGCGTTGACCCCCGTCTCTTGAGCCCCGACGTCTCGGGGCTCTGCGTGGCCAGCACTGGGCCGTAGGAGAAGCGTCTCGGGCCCTCTTCGCGCCTCCCGGGGCCGTCGCGGGCCCTTGGCAGAGGCCCCCACGGCCGTGGACGGACAGAGGGGAAAACCGCTTGGCTACAGGGCAGTTTTTAATACATGGGATTTTTAACATACAGGATTTGTAATACATGACTACTGTATGAATACATTTATGCATGAACTCATCGTTGTTTTTTAATGCTACATCCCTGCATTTGTCATACATGATCCGCACGCGGAGCATGTATTAAAAACGGCACTGCAGTGTGAAGCTCTCGGCAGCCTGCGCAATCTAGAACAGCAGATTGAACACGCCACCGTCGCGCTGAACATCCCGCAGTCGAGGGTCTCGATTGGGGCTGTCGATTGGGCACTGGGGCTTTCTCGAGGTGTCAGGTATGCAATGAAGGCTCTATTGGGGTGTCTTGGGGTCGTCTGGGGCAGTCTTGAGGCTTCTGGGATGTCTTGGAGTCATATTCAGGGCCTCTTTGGCCGTTTTGGGGCGATAATTATGGGAGGCCCATGCAGACGCCTGGGACAGTTCTTGGCCGGAACTGGCGAGAGCGTGAGAATCATTCAGGCACCCACCGAGAACCTATGATTTTGACCTCGTCGGGCCGTCATCGGGGTCTTCCTGGGCCGTCTGGGCGACCTCTCGGGCCCCCCTGAGGCCATGATGAGGGTGTTGGGGTGTGTTGCAGTCCGCTTTGCTCGCATTCGGGAAGGGGTTGGGGCCCTCTTGGGGCTGTCTGGTCGGGGCTCCATTGGGCTGTTCCGAAACGCTACTGTTTCGTCTTGTAGCCATTTGGGGCCGTATTGAAGCCCTCTTCGGGGACTCTTTGACCGTCTTGGAGCGAAGTGGGAGGCCCATTGAGCCGTCTGGTCTCGTTCTTGGACCAAAATGGAGAGAACGTGAACATCAACAAACAAATCAGCATGAAACTGTAATATTCTGGCTTCGTCGGGTCGTCATCGGGGTCCTCCTGGGCTGTCTTGGGGGCATCGTGGGGCCATGTTGAGGCTTGGGCAGTCTTGGTGCCCGCTTTGGGCACTCTTCGGTAGCTCTTGGGGCCAGCGTTGGGCTGGGGTCCTCTTCGGGGCCTCTTGGGACGTCTCGGGGCTCTGAGGGGCCCCTGGAGCCGTCTGGGGCTGTTCTTGCACCGAAATGGCGAGAACATGGAACTCTGCAAACACCAAAAGAAGATGCATGATGTTGACTTCGTCGGGCCGTGGTCGGGGTTCTCCCGGGCTCTCTTGTGAACCTCCTGGGCCGTCTTCGCGGGGCTCTCTTCGGGTCCTTTGGAGCCGTCTTGGCGCTCTCTTGAGCGTCTCGGAGCTGTCTTGACGCTGTCTGAGGCCGCCTTGAGGCCATCTGGAACCCCCTGGAGCCGTCGTGGCCCCGGGAGCTCTCAGGGCGCCCCGGGGGGCCTGGGGAGCTACTCGGGCTCCAGGCTCTTCTCGCACGCAAAATGTGCCTGTAATGAGGAGCTGACCGTGGACCACCGCCCAGGAAGGGTGAGGATCGTAGTCCTGCCTGGGACCTCATGGGCCCCCCTAAAGCGATCCTGGGAGCATTGTCATGGCATTTCGGGAACACTGAGAGGAGCAGCGAGTAGAGCCGCCGCAGCGGACTCAGGTTTGCCCTTGCACCGCCCCAGAAATTGCCCGCCCCCGCCCCCACCCTCACACCCACACCCAGGAGGATGAGAGAAAGGAGGAGGAGAAGGATGAGAAGGAGGCTGAGGAGGAGGAGGAGGAGGAGGAGGAGGAGGAGGAGGAGCACTGGGAGAAGAAGTGCGTACGGATTTCTTTGGGATCACCTTCGGGCCTCGTGGGAGCCATCTTCGAGCTCTCTAAAAGACTCCAGGGGCCCTGTTGGGATCTAATGAAATCGTTCTCGGCCATCATGGGCGCTCGGGGTCCGGGAACGTCTTGGAGCCATCTTGAGGCCCTCCTGAAGCCGGCTTGGCGCAGCTTGGGCTATCAAGGGGGGCGTCTTGAGCCCTCGTGGAAGCTCTTGTGGGTCTCCAGGGTTCTCTTTAGGGCCACAAGGGCTGGAACATGGAGGGTACATGAACACCATTTGGTTTTGCGTGACTTCTGCCGCCAGATCGCCCTCCGCAGGGGCCAGGGAACCCTCCGACGCGGCCCGAGCGAGTCCCTGGGGCTTCCTGGCGCAACTCCAGCTATCTGCAGAGGCGCTCCGAAGACGGCCCCAGGAGCCCCTGGGGCTCTCGAGGCCGAGGGGGTCTCAGAGGGACCACTCGCTGCACAAGCTTTTCTGGCACGCAAGGGTTCCCGCATTGCAGACAGACCAGTTCGGACCCGTGGATCACCGTCCACTCAGGATTCTTCGCTTGCATGGGGTGTGGACTTCCTGCCTGCTCGAGTGCTCGCGTGCTGTCATGCTCGCACTCGCCTGCTGGCCCTGCTGCCGTTGCCGCCGCACGCTGCGTCGGAGTGCTGCTGCTGCGTCGTGCCTGCGCTCGCTGCTGCCCAATGGCGGTCGCTGCCTGTGCGCTGCTGCTTGCTGCTGGGCCTTCCGGTGGGGAGGGGAAAGGGTTGTGGATGCCGTGACAATGGACACTCTAACAATTCTACCTTTGAGTTACACATGTGTTAAGACATGTGTAAAACATGTTCAAAACATGTTTCAAACATGTCTTTGCATATTTCACACATGCTTGACACATTTCTAAACATCTGGAAATTATTTGGCAGCATGCTTCCTCTCCATTAATCGACTTCCGCAACTGGAGCCCTCTTGTAGCATCTCCGGGCCATGCTGGGCCCTCTGGGAGGCTCTCGCGGAGCCGCCTGGGGACATCCTGGAGTTCCTCGGGGGCCTCGGAGGGCCCTCCTGGGAGGTCTCAGGGGTCATCTGGAGAGCGTCGTGGGGCCAACCCCTGGGTCCTCCTCTTAGAACTATCTTGCCGTCATCGCGGAGACCACCTGGGACCATCTTGGTCTATCTTGGAGTTTTCCCGGTCCTCGCGAAGGCTCATGCGGGCCTTTTGTGCGCTCTTGGAAGCCTCTGGCGTCCTTCTTAGAGCCGTCTGAAGCCAGCACGTGGACAGGGACAACACATGTATGCCAGTCTCGAAGGAGTTCGACGGTTGTAGCTTCTCCTGGTCCTGACGCGGTGACATCTTGGCGGCCCCACCTCAAAGCGTCTTGGGCTGTCGTAGGCCCTGGCTGTCGCGGGAGCCTCCTGGAGGCTCTCCTGGGCCGCATGGGGCCGCAGGAAACTCCAGGGTGCCGTCCGGGTTCGGCGCGAGGGCGCCAGGGGGCGCGTATCAGTGCGAGCCAGGCCGGTAATGGCGCCGGTCTGGCACGCACTGCGCTGGGCACAGCAGGAGAGGCTGGGGCTGACCCGTAGACTGTCGTCCACGACAGTAGGCCCGCATGAAGGTGCGAGGAGTGAAGCGCGCTTGGGCTCTGTTCGTACGGTACCGGATCGGTCTTGGAACTGGAGCCCTCTTGGGCCAAGCAGGGCCCGTCGCGGCCAAATATTCTGGGAAGTGAACGGGGTCCCAAAGCCTTACAAGTTTGCAATGATGGTGGTCTCTTTGCGGCCTCTTGGAAGTAGCGCACACGTCCTGGAATTACAGTGCGACCGATGACGTTGGGCTCCAACTTTGTCTGCCACATCTCGCTTAGCAGCGACAGCGCCTGAAACCATTGCCCACTTTTCTCGCAAGCGCTGATCCCAGCGCTGTAGCTGATGACGTCTGGCTCTAATGCTATATGCCATATGTCGCGGAGCAGCGACAATGCCAATTGCCACTGCTCGCCTTTCTCGCAGGCGCTGATCCCAACGCTGCAGCTGACTAATACGAGCCTGTGGATGGAAAGTCCACGCGGGTCTGCAACGGGCCAAGGGCAGACCCGTGGACTACTGCCCACGGGAGCGTTCTCGCATACACGGTTGGGTGGCAATACAGCCGAGTCCTTGTTGGTTGCGATTCGCTGCTGCTTGCTGCAAATTGCTGATGCTTGCTGCTGTTCGCTGTGTCGTCTTGCTGCTGCTGCTCGCTGTGCCCTTTCTTGCGGTCGCTCACTTGCTTGCTGCTGCTGGCACTGCTGCTGCGTGTCCCGCTGCTGCTGGAGGAGGCTCTCCTGGCACATGTGGAACCTCTTGTGTCATCTTAGGCCGCCTTGGACTTGCTGAGGCGTCTCCCCGGCCTGCTTGGGCTTTCTGGAGGCGGTCTCGGGATCCTCTTGGGTTGTATCGTGGTCATCTTAGGGCTCTCTGGAATCGTCTTGGGGCACCTTAGGGCCATCTGGGGTCCGTCTTGAACTCCTCTGGGGGCCCTCTCGGGCCATTCCGGGGCCGCCTTGGGACCTCATTTGGCTATCATGGGGCCATCTTGGGGTTGTTCTTGCGAACTTGTTGGGGCAAGCCAAAAAACCAGCACACATCCTCCAAAAGCCAGTCTAAACCAAGAAACCGTGCAAACACGCAAACAACAACGATATTAGCAAGTGAGTCTCTCCCGTGTTGGCGCCTCTCTTGGGGCGTTTTTGAGCCTCTCTTGGGGCCCCTCGTGCACCCTGTAGAGCTTTTTGGAGCATCCATCTTGGAAATCTCTGGGGCCGTACTTTGGGGCTCCTGGGGCCCCCTTGCGCCGTCATGTTGAGCCTTAAACGGCCCAGCGAACATTTCGACAACAAGAACGTACGGGAAACGGAGCCGAACTGGACGCGGAGACCGCTTGCGACCGCTGCCACTGGTGTCGTGCGTGGAACCCCCTGCGGGGCGCCGTCCGTGCGAGGGGCGTACCGAACCCCACAATGCAGCAGGGGTGGGGACAACACCCGATGGTTGCGGCAGGGAGGGGAGGGGGAGGCTGGGAGGAGGAACGAGAGATGGAGACGCGCGGCAAAGCGGAAGGACAATGAAGAGCCAATTAGCCTGTCGGATTGCTCCACCCTGTGCTTCTACGCGTAGCGCAGGGCGTGGCCCTCTCCTCATGTACTGAACGCCGTGGGAAGGGTGGAGTTTGGGGCAGTGCGGAGAACAAGCTGCGGAACTGGCGCACATCCGCGTGAGTGGTTTACTGTTATGGGCGGAGGCATGCGTGGACGCCCACTGGGGCCTCACGTCGAGCTCCCTATGGAGCGAGGTCCGTGATGGGTGTGTAATGACACGGTCGGAGGCGCCAAATGTCGCACGCGAGCGCCCCCGCTGGACCTGTAGGTGGAACTTAATCTAGGGCACGATCCGTGTGGGGGGGATGCTGGCAGGAGCGGAGGGCCGGCATGCGGGTGCCTTTACTGGTGCCGCAGGTAGACCTCCCCATGGGGCAAGACTGATCCACGCGGTGCCAAAAACCAGCGCCGACATCGTCACTGCACGAAGCTACCGTGGGGCTCCTGGGGCGTGCTTGCTGGATTTCTGTGGCTGCAGGGTCGCGCCTTGAAGCAGTAGGTACACCCACCCACTACACACATACATAGACAGACAGGCAGGCAGACAGACAGATAGACAGACATGCATACCTACCTACCTGACGCCAACACTTTCACACACTTACGCACACTTCCACACACAGACTTGCACAAACACACACATATATATGTATATATATATATACATACTAGAACCTTCGCGCGCGCTTCGCGCGCTTAGGTTCTAGCCAACCCCAGCCTTGGACAAGGTCAAAGCTGCGCGTATGGAAGGCCCGCAGGAAGTGGCAAGCACGCAACCAGACCAAATACGTTATCTGTATGCATGTATGTATGCTTGTATCTATACAAATATATGTATGTAGGTATGTATGTATGTATGTGTATATATATATATGTATATATGCATGCATACGTGTGTGTATATGTACATGCACACATACATACATCCATGCATACATGGATGCATGCATGAATACACACGGAAAACAAACACATACATACGTTCGTACATGCATACGTTGGAAGGAGAGGCGGCAACGTGCTCCGGCAGCGCTTTTCCGGAGCATGTTGGGCGAGAGGCGTCGTACCAGAATACGCCCAGAGTGGCCGGCAGACGGCCCAAGAACCTTTGGAGACCGCTTCTGAGGGGATCTCCTGGGAGCGCCTTGGGGGCCTCTGGGCGGCCTTGTGGGGCCTCCTGGCGGCCTCTTGAGGTAAAAGGCTGGAGCTTTGGGTGCACGGTTGCCCACTGAAGTCTTCATTCGGCACCGAACGCTGGAAGGAGAGGCGGCAACGTGCTCCGGCAGCGCGTTTCCGGAGCATGTTTGGGGGACCTCGGTAAGCAGTTTTGAAGCCTCTCGGAAGCCGTTTTTGGGCCTCTCGAGGCCTCTTTTGGGCCTCTTGGGGGCCTCTTAGTGGCCTTCTGGGCTGTCTTCGGGGCCTCTGGGGGCTTCCTGGGGGCATCTTGGGGCGGAGAGCTCGACTGTTCGGTGCGTGTTCCCTCTCTTGGGCCGCTCTTGGCGCCTTCTTGGGGCTCTCCTGGGCTGTCTTGGGCGGGCCTGGGGACAGTCTTAAGGCTCTCTTGGGCCGTCTTCGGCCTATCTTGGGGGTCTCTTGGGCTGTCTTGGAGCGGTCTGGGGAGCCTCTGGGCCGGTCTAGGAGCGTCGGAAAGCCGAAACAGCGAGGAAGCAAAAAACATAGAAACAACACATACAAATCAACTATTTTCGCCTCTCTGGCCGCTCGTCGGCGGCATCTTCATGCCTCTTGGGGCGTCTTGGGGGACACCCTCGGCAGCTTAAGACGCATCGTGGGCCCCTGGAGACACCTGCAGGCGGTCTTGGGAGCGTCTCGAGAACGTCTGGGGCCGCCGGGACGGCTGTCCGAGGGCTCCTGCGGCCTTCTACGGGCCCTCTTTGGCCGTCTTGGGCGGGTCTGGGGGCAGTCTTGGGGCTCTCTTGGGCCGTCTAGGAGCTCTGTTGGAGGCTCCTGGGCCGTCTTGGAGCGGTCTGGGGAGCCTCTGCGGCGGTCTTGGAGCGTCGGGAAATCAACACAGCGAAGAAGCAAAAAACATTGAACATACGCATGAAAATCAACGATTTTCGCCTCTCTGGCCGCTCGTCGGCGGCATCTTCATGCCTCTTGGGGCGTCTTGGGGGACGTCCTCGGCAGCTTAAGACGCATCGCGGGCCGCTGGAGACACCTGGAGGCGGTCTTCGAAGTGTCTCGAAACCGTCGGGGGCCGCCGGGACGGCTGTCCGAGGGCTCCTGGGGCCTTCTTGGGCTCTCTTGGGCCGTCTTGGGCGAGTCTGGGGCAGTCTTGGGGCTCTCTTGGGCCGTCTTGGGGCTCTCTTGGGGGCCTCTGGGGCCGTCTTCGAGCGGTCTCGGGAGCCTCTTGGGCGGTCTTGGAGCGTCGGAAAGCCGAAACAGTATAAAAAACTAATGAAAATCAGCGATTTGGGCCTCTCGGGCCGCTCTAAGGCGGCATCTTGAAGCGTCTTGGGACGTCTTGGGGGGGCTTCCTGGGTAGTTTAAAACGTATCGTGGGCGGATGGAGACGCCTGGAGGCGGTCTGGGGAACGTTTCGAGACCGTCCAGGGCTGCCGGGACGGCTGTCTGAGGGCTCCCGACGGCGATTTCAGCCCTCCCAGAGGCGGGCCCGGGCCCCAGGCCTCACATTTGTGGTCGAGGTTCGGGCCCCCGGGAGCGTCCTGCAGCCCCGTGGCCCCCATGGGGGTCCGAGGTGCCAATCTGGCGGCCCCAGGTCCCGTTCCCCGGTATGTATATATATATATATATATATATATATATATATATATATACATATATATATACACACACACTTTTTGGCGTCGCGGACCCCGCGCAGTGACAGAGCGTCGAAAGGTCAGAGAAGAGGGCACGCTCGCGAAGGCCGAGCCCTCAAGCCGCTCAGAGCGAGCAGCGCCACGGCCAGCCATCAGTAATCCGGGCATGGATGGCAGGGGGGTCAGACGAGGTAAGCAGATAGCCAATCAGCATCGAAACGACCTGCCGAGAGGGCAACGGGAAGCGCAGTGGAAACTAAAGTGATGCCATGGGCAGACGATTGGCAGAAAGGGCAGGACAAGGTTCGGCGGCGGGCGAGGGAGGGAAGTGAGAAAGAGAAGGCCTTCTTAGGATGTGGCGGGACTTCCCGGAAACCCTCGTGCCTTCTGAGAGGTTTTCTGTGTCTTTAGGGAAGGTTTAAACAACTTCTCAGAACGCCTGGGGACGTCCGAGCCTTCTGAGAAGGCCCGCCCCTTCTCATTTTCCCCCGGGCTCGCCGGCGAAAGGTACAAGGAGGCCGAATGCCAGGAGTGGCGGCGCAAGCACTGTAAAGGCTGCCCCAAGAAGGTAGCAGCGACGGCAAGCCCGTTGGGGCGCCAGAAAGCCGGCCTTGAGTCAGCCAAAGAGGGGGAAGGGGGCGGCAGGCCCGACGGCCCGCGGGGACGGGCTCTTACGGGATCCAGCGGAGGAGCGGGCGTGCAAAGGACGCGGAAGGAAAGAGACTGGAAGGAAAAGGCGAACCACACCCACCAACCCACCCACCCACGCACGCACGAAAAAAGAAAGCACGCACCCGCACACACACAAACACACACTCAGTCTTTCAGTCACACAGTCACACACACACGCACGCACACAGACACACACACACACACGCACACACACAAAAAACACACACAACACACACACACGCACAAACACACACACACACACGCACACACACACACACGCACACGCACACACACACACACGAACGCACGCACACGCGCACGCACGCACGCATTCACCAACGCACACACACACACGCACCGACAC